AGGTCGGCGGTTCGAGCCCGCCTGGGGTCGTCCTTTTTTGCTTCCTACGCCCATCCGAACGTCTTGCTTTGTGTCGGATGAGGTGTTTGCATGATGAATGCAGCCAATGCAAGTATGGTGGGCGCGAGCAGCTGCAGCGTTGCAGCCGCGCTCTCAGCTTCAGCGCAAATCGGTCATGGTGTTAGATCGATTGTGGATGTCGTCAGCGTCGTCAGAGTCGAGGGGCAAGTGGGAGCAACATGCAGGGTGAATGGTGTCAAGCGCGCACGGTGTCGATACAAGGTTGGTGGGATCGTGCACGCCTGGCAACGCAACGCAAAGCTTGTGCTTCATTTCCGGCCATCATTTCAACCGCTCCCGCATCATGCTCGACGACCGCCCACAGCTGTGGTCCAGCGGGCTTCATCTTGGCAATCGACCGCCGCTTCAAACAAACGCAAAGCGCTCTTGTCTTGGCCACACGAGTCGAAGGCGCATGTCCACTGCCTCGGAATCCGTGGCGATGATTGGTGTCGTACATTCTCTTGACCCCCGTCCGTCCTTATCGACTCGAGCAGGGCGGCTGGTCCATTCGGCTCTGCATCCTTCTCGCTCCTACTTTTGCATCCTCATGCCTGACTGCTCGGCATCGCGTCTGGCACAGCAATGCAAACTGTGCTGCGAGCCGCGCTCTGTGTGCTAGCAGCCCTGGTGCTGTGGGTGGATGCGGCCATCAACATCGTCATCCATCCTCTGACGGCGCGCAGCGCAGCAATCAGTGTCGCACTCGCCAGCCTGGGCACGGTCGTCGTGGCTGCTGAGCCAGCACTCCGCTCGCCACGCCGAGCGCACTCAACCTCATCCTGGCACTCCATGCTGGTCAAATCAGCCTTCTTGTCGCTTGCTGCAGTCGTGATGCTCGACGGTCTCAAGGGTCTGCCGTGCCCCAGTCCGCGCGCGGTACGCGACAAGACCAGTCGCACACTACCTACTGCCGGTCAGAGTGAGCTTGACGCCCTCAAAACCAACGGCACATCAGTCTACCTCGTGCGCTCGCTGGCGCCTCAGTGCGTCCAGTTCCTGGGTCCCGACTTGCAAGGCGTGCCCAGCATGGCCTGGGTGAATGTGGCGCCGCGCCGTACGAGTCGGGTGCTCATGCTCGCCGGCGTCGCGACCACGCTCACCGCATCGCTTCTCTTTTGCCTCCTCGGTGTCGTGCAACGGGCGCGAGGCGGTGCAGCTGTAGCAGGCAAGGACACTCGCGATGACGAAGAAACGGCATCAAGTCCGCCGCGAGCACTCGAGGCTCAGCCGGATCGACCCGTGGACCTGCTTGGCGAACTGCTGGCTGCGGACAAGCACAACGCGCCGAGCAGCTTTGGGTTGATACCCAACGGACGAACCTGCACATCGCGACTCAGCGCGCCTGGTTCACGATGCGACGATGCCGCCTCCCACATAAGCGGCGGTGGCTCGAGCGCCATCCCCTCGGTGCGTGGCGAAGGTAGCGCCTGCACGCCCGCGCTGCGTCGCATCCCCTCACATCCAGACTCGCCTTCGTGCGCGCTCTTTGGTCGATCCCCCACACTTCCGGTCCCGCCGCCGCCGGCGCACTCGGCCTCGAACTCGCCCGTACTCGAGAGGAGAGACTCGCCCGGTCTTCACTATGCACACGTGTACGGTGGCACGGTCGACTTTGCGTCGGGATGCATCATGCACCAGCCCATCTTCTCGCAGAGAAAGAGGAGAGGCTCGTCGCAGCAAGACGCCTCGTTTGCAACGCTGCTGCCACCCGACTTTTCGCGGCCCTCGTTCCACAGCCTGCCGGCTCTGTCGCCACGGAGAAAGGTGAAGAGCGTGCCCAACGTCACGGGCAAGATGAACAGGCGGTCGGATGCCAAGGCGCACATTGCATCGGCGAAAGCGACCGAGATAGCGACGAGCAGCAAGTACGATCCGCCCGCTGCGCTATCGCCTCCTGCTGACGAAGACTCTGCCTCGCAACTGGCTCAGGTGGGCCATCGCGAGCCGAAGGGCAAAGGCGTCAAGCCGACCAAGCACGATGTGGCGAAGCATCATCTGCGGCCTGCACAGCGGGAGCCAGCTCGGCTCAACACGGCCGACTCGATGCGGTTCATCGGATCTGCAACTATGGCGGGGCGTGCACCGACGTCGCGGCCGGGAACGGGCGCATCGGCGAGATCCACCGGCTCACTGCGTCTGACGCGGCAGAGTCTGTTTGCGGCGCTCGATGCGCGATTGGGCACGCGCTCGAGCGTGGTGAGCCACGATGCATCGTGCGGCGTAGCATCAGCGTGCTCGTACGACTCGCAGGGCGGATGCAGTGCAGGCACCTTTGGCGATGGTGCCACCGACTCGCCCGCGCCCTCGCCCAAGCTGCGCTTTCCACGCATGCCCTCGCCCCGTACGTGCGCCCAAAATGGCGCGAGCACTTCGCCAGTTCAATCGTCCTCCAAGTGCACACCGCGAGATGCGAGTTGATGCATTATGCGAGAATAGTCAAGGTGCAATGAACCTGATGCGATGTGCGAGTCTGGTGGGGGTGAAATGAAGCTCGGGAGTCGGATGAGATGGCGATTCTGACGTGAGCGAAAAGTGCCGATGTGCAGCACACTGGTGAAGTGCTGAGCCAAAGCCGCATTCACGCACGGCCTCGCTTTTGTCCTCCCTCTCATCATCGCCGCCCACCTAAACCCCCCACCACTCCCCTAGCACGGCAAGTCAGCACGACGAAAGGATGGACGAGGTAGCACAGCTCGAGCTGCATCCTCCGACGGTCGACACCAAAGCCACTGGTGGAGCCACCGCCGCTGCGCCCGCGGACGGCAAGTCGCAGACAGCCGCCACAAAGCCTGTGCGCACGGGACCGGTTCCAATGTCGATGCCATCGATCCTGCGCAACCCTGGCAGCTCTCAGTCCAACCATCTGTCGTATCTCCTCGATCGACGCAGTGGATCGTCGTCGTACCCGCCGTCGTCGTCGCGCACCAAACCGCGCTCGGGAGCCAAGGAGCAGCTGGGCCGACGCAAACAGCGCCGCTCGGAAAACGCGCGCTTGCTGTCCAACCCGCACGCGGTGCGACCGACGATCAAAGACTACAGGCTGCACTCGAACGAGATCCGATCCACCTTCCACGGCACGCCGGGCGCTTCAAAGGGCAGTGTGCCCGTTCCGGCCAACAGCGGAGTGCGATACTCGGAGCCCGTGCACGATGCGGCGTCGGCGATGCAGGGACACTTTGGCAAGAGTCTGCGCGATGCCCAGCGTGTGCTCAAGCGGCTTGAGGTCGGCAATATCTCGGACGAGATGATCCGTACGCAGCGAGCGGGGGAACTTGAGCGGTTCATCTGGTTGGTGGATCGCGAGATCCGCATGTGGGCCCAGGAGGAGATCCACATCCTCACACCCGGGGATCGCAAGCAAGGTCGCATCCTACTGGATGCCGAGTTCAACTTCACGACACCGATGGGAGCGAGGGAGGACGTTCCGACGGTGGCGTTGGACGAGGTGCAGAGACAGGGGCAGCTGGTCGAGTTTCAACGCACCCCGAATGCGTTAGTGTGGCTGGTGCACGATCCGTTCCTCCGGCTGGTGGTGCACTGCCTTGCGCGGGTATCGCGCTGCCCGTCGTTTTCGAAAGACGACCCGAGCCGACCGGGGCTGCGGTTCACCTGGATTCTCAACAAGAACCCGCACGCGCGCCGACCGCGTCGAGGCCGCAGAGTGTCGGTCTCCAGCTCAGCTGTCTCTGCTGAAGTCAGACCAGTCGCGGTGGGTGCGATGGGCGTGTTGGATACCCCACCGACGACCGACTTTGACTCGCAGACAGAGACGGAGAGCGAGCTGGAGAGCGATCTCGACAGTCTGGCCGAGTCGGTGCAGCTGGTCGAGCTGGGTGGAGAGGGAGAGGCGGTGGATACTGACGAGGACGAAGCCGAGATTCTGCGCAGAGTGCATCGTTGGGCCATCGATAGCCATCGTCAACGCCACGCCGATTCACAACCCGACGCAGCCGCGAAACGATCCAAGCGCGCATCGAGGATAGATCAGGATCCGGACCAGACACTCACTACAGCGATTGCCGAAGACGACGAAGAGGACGACGCCGAAGATGACGAGGACTCGGATGCGCATTCGGCCTAGACAACGCATTCACGCTTTCTTTTGCGCACGCCTGGACTGTGTAGCGTGACGATTGAAATTACAACCATGGTTGGGGAAACTACTTCTTCTTGGCGGTCTTGAGACGGATGGTCTCGTCGTCGACAAAGATGCCCTTGCCCTTGTACGGTTCTGGTTTCCTCCAGCTCCTGATCTGGCTTGCAAACAGGCCGAGCTGTTCGCGGTCGGCGCCCTTGATGACGATTCGGTTGGGCTGGGGGATCTGCACCTGCACGCCGTACGGCACGGGAATCAAGACGGGGTGACTGTAACCCAGCCTGATATGGAGTCTTTGGTTGGGTCCCTGCTTCTCTGCCTCCTGCTTGATCCTCTCTGCACGCTCGACCTCTGCCTGCTTGGCGGCTTCCGAGAGGAAGAACGATTTGGAGCTGGCGAGGGCAATGTCGAGCTTCGACGTGCGCGGGAGCGGGTCCGGTTCGATCGAAGCACGGTAACCCACACCAACAAGCTTGAGCGATACAGTGTGACCTTCACTCACGCCGACGAGGGCGTTATGCAGGAGAGAGCGCGTGAGACCCCAGGTGCCACGCTGCTTTTTGCTGCTATCGTCCTTGATCGACAGCGTGATGCGTGCCGACTCGAGCGTCGATCCCACGGCCACGGGTTTCGACGCGTTCAACAGCGTCACGCACTCGTGCAGAGGGACGACTACTTCGCCCTTGGGACCCTTCACCAGCGCGGATCGCGCATGGCGCAGCGAGGGGAGAAGTGGTCGCGACGGGTTCGGATGCGGCGGAAACGGCAGAATCTCAATGCTCGTCGAGGTCGGAAGATCCAATGGCGCACTCCCGACGTGCGAGTGTCGAACGCTGAGCGAAAAGGCGTATCGTGGAAGTGCAGAGGTGGTGGCGACGCGCGACGACGAGAGCAGCATCCCGCCCACTTGCCGAGCCAGGCTCGAGCCGGAAGCCGTAGGTGCCACCATGATGTCCAGAGGCGTTGCGACAAGCGCCGACGCGATGCGATGCGAGGCGAGGATGCGTAGGTGGATGCTGTGCGCGGATGGGCGTGCGCTGCGATGCAAGATGGTAGGGAAGCGATAATCGAGATGCTGGTGGTGATCACAAGGTCGAGGTTACGAAAGCTTCGCCGTCACTTCTTCCCGACCTTTTCGGCGCTTTTTTCCTGCAGCTCGAAAGTCATCGGAACCGTCCTCACTCCATCGTCCGATTGCGCGATCTTCCCGATTGAGCCCGCTTCCTTTGTTAGAGCGTCTCTTGCTTGCTACGGCTTTCTCTCCAGATTGCTTCAATTTTTCGGATCCGAATGTGAACCAGCACGTACAGTTTTGAAATTTAGCTCACGTGATGCTCCCCCGAGCTACGAAACTCTGTGGCCACCGAGGCCGATTTGGGCGCATCCACGCTCGCCGCTCTGTGCGTCGGGCCCAGAAGATTGAATTTGTGCTGCTCTGCAGACGGCTGAGGAAACGGCAGGCACCTCACCGCAGTGCCCCGCCTCGAGAGCCGAGTCGGGCACTAACACCGCTGCCTGCAAGGCTGGCTCGAAGGCTAGCGTGCGCCCAGAGGGTGTGGCCTGGTCGTCACCATACCGAGCCCTGCTTTCGACCACCACCCTTTCTCCACCTATCCAAACATTCGTCAAGGTTGGTATCCAGCACATTCCGGCACAGCATTCCGGCAGCACAGCATGCACAGCACCCACCGTTCGACGTCGTCACCCACGACATCCGCACCGATAAACCCTCGCATCAGCACCGCCAAATAGATGGATCGTTCGCAGCGTCAGGACATCAGCATAGGAGACACAGCCAGCAGGTTGGACGATACTGCACCCGACACTGGAGCAGAGATTGTCGGCGGGATTAGCGCATAGCCCGATACTTGGAAGCCATCGACAGGGAGGTTTATGTTGCCGCACTGGGTTGAAGGTGCTGGGAGTACACACAAATGCCGTCGAGGGAAAGGATCAGCCATTTCAATCGTTCGATCTTCTGCAGTGGGGAAGTAGGAGGATGGAAAAGGGTGGCAGCATTGTAGTCGTCAGCAACGGTAGCGCACGAAGTTTCGTCGCATTGTTGTGCTCGAGCAGCGACTGCTTCGGCCCTATCCGTAGCTGAAGCTACTCCTGCACTGTAGCATCGCAGATAGATGAACGGCATTGAAGGAGGGCGATCGACAGTATGCAGTCGGCGACTAGCAGCGGTAAACTGCGTGCAGTGATTCGACCTCGTTCTATCTTCGACACCATCCAGCCACGCCGTCAGGACCTGGGTCGGATGGCACTGTCTGGTTCATCTGCATGCATTTTTGCCGGCTCCTCTTGGACGCCAGCGACGTTGATCGTGCCTCGATGCCAGGCTCGCACCACACCGACGCTACATGTCCGACTCGGTAACAGCCCGTGCCACGATGCTACACGACGATCGTGATTCGACACCGACCGCCCAGCCAACTACTCCGACCTGATCCCCGACCCGTCAACGGTGCATGCTGTGCGCCGAAGCAACATTGCACTTCTTCCACGTATACTGACCTTTACCCGCTTGCTGTTCCTCTTGCTGTTGATAGATGGCTGAGCGTGTCACTCTCCGCAAGCGCAACCCTTACAACACCAAGTCTTCCCGCCGCCAGGTGGTCAAGACTCCCGGTGGTCACCTTCGCTACCTTCACCTGAAGAAGCGCGGTACCGTCCCCAAGTGCGGTGACTGCCACACTGACCTGTCGGGCATCAAGGCGCACCGCCCCCGCGAGTACGGCACCATCTCCAAGCGCCAGAAGAGCGTCTCGCGCGCCTACGGTGGCTCGCGCTGCTCGTCGTGCGTCCGCACCCGCATCATCCGCGCCTTCCTCGTCGAGGAGGCCAAGATCGTCAAGAACGTCCTCAAGGCCCAGGCAAAGTCGCAGAAGTAAGCGCCCTTCGTCTTGCACCCTCTTCATCAACCCCCAAAAGTTTTGATTCGCTGCAAGGGCTAGCGATTCACGCCATGCAGTAGATACATTGCAATCATCCCAACACACACTCTGTACCATTCCCATCCCGCCTCCGTGACTGTGTGCCGTGTGGCAGTCTAGACTTGTCCTCAGTGGTTTGGTCCAACAGTGGTTTGGTCCAAGTGAGTGGAATGAGCGAGGCGGAGGGCATGTTGAAGCGGACCAGGCCGGTGTGAGCTGGGATCGGGCCGCCCGATGTCGATTCCATCTTTTTTTGAGTATTTTCTCGGCCCCATTTCCATAGCTTATTCAAACTTCCCATTCGACAGTGACGAACATTCAAATGCGTGCTGCCTTGGATCGATCCGATCCGGTGAAATCGCTGGGTGCATGCAGCATGACGATCGTGCGAATGCAGCTTCGGGTGGG